AGCAATGAAGAGTCCCGTGAACAGCCAGGATAAAAGTAAATATTGTCATTTCCACGAAGAGATAGGCCATGACACTTAAGGCTGTTTTAGTCTTAGGCGGCTCTTTGACCACCTTGCTGATGAGGGGGCTCTAAAATCGTATTTGCCTAAATCAAAGGGTACTCTCAAGCAGGTCAAGGGACAACCTCCAAAGACACCGGTAACTCATTCTGACACTGATGAGGAAACCATCTTAACCATAGCCGATGGATTTGCGAGTGGTGGTCCTACCATCCGGGGTACTAAGGATAATATAAGAAGGCTGATCAACTCAGTGGATGAGGGTCAGTCGTCTAAAAATTCATTCTCGGAGGTCAATATCTCTGAAAAGGATAGAGGAGAGGTCAGGCGGCCCCACGATGATCCCATAGTCATCGAATGTAAAATTGCCAATCAACGAGTTGGCCGGATCTTAATTGATACCGGGAGCTCGTCCGACCTCATATGCTACCGGTGCTTAGAAAAGCTCAAGTACAAGCCCAGTAGCATGATACAGGCTCCATACCCTCTTGTTGGCTTTGAGGGAGGAGTAGTGCATCTGGTGGGGATGGTTGACCTACCCATCCGGTTTGGAGAGAAGGGGAAAGGCCGACACATTGTTGTCAAGCTTCTTGTTGTTGAGGAACTGACGGCCTACAACGTGATCATTGGTCGGCCAACCCTTAACATCTCCAAAGCAGTGATCATCCCGTCTCTAATGTTGATTAAATTCGAGAGGGATGATGGCATAGTCGGTTCCTTGAGTGGGGACCAAAAGACGGCGAGAGAGGTTACCTCTCAGACGTCAAACCAACATTGGTCACAGACGGTCAGGAAAAGGAAATAGTTGAACTTGACAAATGTGATCAAGAAGCACCGGCCCTGAAAGCAGCCGGTAAAAAGAGAAGGCGGGTGAAATGGCACTCGTCAAAGAAAAACAATAGCAATCACTTTTAGGGGAGAGGTCAGACGACCTTCGCCCCCAGCCGGCAGGAGATATTATTGACATCATCTTAGATGACAGCCAGCCTGACAGAATTGTTAAAGTTGGGACGGTTGCTTTTGACAACTTGGGAACCAGCTTGCTCCGACTGCTGAGAGAATTCAAAGATGTGTTTGCCTTTGAAGTGGAAGAAATGCCGGGTGTAAGCCCGGATCTTGCTGTTCATAAACTCGTTGTGGATCCTAAAAAGAAGCCGGTTAGGCAAAAGAAGAGGAACCATGGCGAAGAAACATCTCAGGCGGTAGCAGCTGAGGTCAAGAAACTTTTAGATTCCGGGTTCATTTGGCAATGCTACTACCTGGATTGGGTAGCCAATGTTGTCCTCGTTAAAAAGCCGAATGGTACCTGGCGGATGTGTGCAGATTACACGGACTTAAACAGAGCTTGTCCGAAAAATAGTTACCCGCTTCCAAAGATCGACCACTTGGTAGACTCTACAGCCGGTCATGCTCTGATGAGTTTTATGAACGCGTATTCTGGCTTCCATCAGATACCTTTGTGGAAGAAAGACCAAGAAAAGACAGCTTTCGTCACAGATCAGGGTTTATACTGTTACACGGTGATGTCGTTTGGGTTGAAAAATGTGCCTGCTACATTCCAACGAATGATAAACTCGGTCTTTTCTGATCAGATTGGGAGAAATGTAGAGGCGTACATTGATGACATGATAGTCAAATCCAAGCTACAGGCGGATCATCTATCTGACCTCCGAGAAACCTTCACCACCCTCAGGCGGCATAAGGTCATGCTTAACCCAAAAAAGTGCGTCTTTGGTGTTGAGTCTGGGAAGTTTCTCGGATTTTTGATTGACCAGAGAGGTATAGAGGCTAATCGGACAAGGTACAGGCGATAACTGACATGCAGTCGCCTCGTACCGTCAGAGAGGCTCAAAAGCTTACCGGTTGTCTGGCGGCATTGGGGAGATTCCTCAGCCGGTCTGGTGACAAGTGCCTTTACTTTTTTCAAGAAATCAAAAAGAGGTCCAGGTTTGAATGGGGTGAAGAGGTTGAGGCGGCATTCCAGAGGCTGAAGCAAAACTTGCATTCTTTGCCAAGATTAGTGAGTCCCCTACCCCAGGAGGCTCTCTATATGTACCTAGCCGTCTCGGATCATTCCCTGAGTGCTGTTCTCCTTGCTGAGAGAGACGGTAAACAGCTCCCGGTTTATTTCATAAGCCACGTTCTCCAAAATGCTGAACTTCGATATCCCATGATTAAAAAGTTTGGTCTGGCTTTATACAAAGCGGTCAAACGGTTAAAGCCTTATTTCTTAGCTCATCCGGTTACCGTCTATACTGATCAACCGCTCAAACGGCCTATGACCACATTAGAGTCATCCGGGAGAATGATTAAATGGGCAGTGGAAATTCAAAGTCTAGAGATAACTTTCAAGCCCAGGCGGGCAGTGAAAGGTTAGGCGTTTTTCGACTTCATTGTCGAAATGACTAGGCTGGTACAACCGGATAATACCGATCAGGTATGGAAGGTGTATGTAGATAGGAGTTCTACCATGAATGGTTGTGGTGCAGGCGTAATTTGTCATTCCCCGGAAGGGGATAAATACGAGTATGCTCTACGATTCAAGTTTCAGGCTTTGAATAATGAAGCAGAGTACGAGGCCTTGCTAGCCGGTATCCGCATGTGTAAGGCAGCCGGGGCAAGGAAGGTTGACGCCTGTTCTGATTCTCAACTAATTGTTAGCCAGTACCATGGTGATTACGAAGCCACCCATCCGGTAATGATTAAATATCTTCCGGCAGTTAAAGAAGAGGATGGGGAATTTGATGAATTCAATCTAAGTCAAGTGCCAAGGTCTGAGAATAATCAGGCGGATGCACTATCAAAGCTGGCATCATCCGCCACTTGCGATACGCCTAGGTCAGTCTTTTTGGAAGTCATGGAAAAGAAAAGCATTGAACATGATCCCATTGGAGTTCTAGATTGAAGCTCTACTTGGATGGACCCCATCCGGGACTACTTGGTAGACGACACTCTGCCGGATGCCTCCTCAGAAGCGGCTGCTCTAAAGCGACGAGCATTAAGTTTCGTCATGCACAAGGGTGAACTCTTTAAAAAGGGGTACCTACAGCCATTATTCAAGTGTATAACCCCAGAAAGGGGAAAGGAAGTGCTAGAAGACCTACATGCCGGCTTCTGTGGATCACACATAGGTGGCAAAACTCTCGCAAAAAGGGCCAGGCGGCAGGGGTACTTTTGGCCCACTCTTGAGGCAGATGCTCTAGAACTGGTACAGAGATGTGACAAGTGCCAGAGATTTGGCCGGCTTATCCGTCAACCGGCTACTGATTTGACGGCTATCTTCAGCTCTATCCCATTTGCCAAATGGGGCATGGATATTTTGGGACTGTATACGCCAGCCTCAGGCGGCCGTAGATACATTTTGGTGGCTGTTGATTACTTCACAAAGTGGGTTGAGGCAGAGGCGGTAAAGGGCATCAAAGCTAAGGATGTCATCTCCTTCATCTGGAAGAATGTCATCACCCGGTTTGGTTCCTATGTTAATGGTCTTTGATAATGGTCCGCAGTTCGAAACGCCTGTCCTCAAAACTTGGTTGCAAGATCAAGGAATTTCACATTATTTTGCATCCGTAGGCCGTCCTCAAGCAAACGGTCAGGTGGAAGCTTTTAACAAGCTCATCTCAGGCGGCATAAAGAAAAAGATCGAAAAAGTAGGTGGCCTTTAGGTAGAGGAATTGACTCATGTCCTTTGGTTAATCAGAACGACAGAGAAGGGGTAAATCGGTGAAACCCCATTTCTCATGGCATACGGCACAGAGGCTGTCCTTCCTATTGAGTTATATAAACCAACACTTCGAATCATGCTTTATGATGAAGAAGCAAATTGGGAGGCCATGCGTCTGGCTTTGGATACACTCCCTGAAAGAAGGGGTAATGCTTCATTACGTCATGAAATCTACCGTCTGAGGTGACGAGAGCCTACAACAAAAGGGTGCGCAAAAGACCCCTTAAAGTAGGAGATTTTGTACTACGAAAGCTTGAGGCAACCGGTAGGGCGAACGAGCAAGGGAAGTTAACTCCCAATTGGGAAGGACCCTACCGGATTTTTGAAGAAGTTAGAAATGGCAATTACCGCCTGGAAACCCCAGACGAAATGCAACTACCTCGCACCTGGAACGTAGATAACTTGAAAAAGTACTACTTCTAAGGAATTTGTAATTTTTGTAAATAGCATTGAAATTTGAAGTATATCATTCCTGTTCATTGTATTAGCACCCATCTAGTGCAAAAACACAGACGGAAGAACATTTATTAAACCACTGCTCCAAAAAGAGCAGTCATCCGGTGACACCCATCCGGGTGAATTCACCGAAGAGAACAACTCCCTTCCGGGTGGTACATTGTTCTGACAATCGTAAACTCAAACGACATTTACTGTCACATCATTGAAAGAACACAGCCGTTCGAAATGATCCATTGCATCTGGGATTCAGCCGACATAGATCCAAAAGTCGTCCATGCGGTAAAATCCAAATCCCGGTAAAAACGCCAACCGGCTTTAGCAGCAAAGCACTACAGACAATTAGGTATTCCGGATGAACACTTGTTTAAAAGAACAATGTTATTCCTCTTTGTATGAAAACTCCTGCTGTGCAACAGCAGATTTTTAAATATATATATATGGGCTTAAAGCAACTGGTCTATATCCAAAAGATATGAAGACGACCTTTAGTACCCATCCGGCTGACTTTGAAACGACTGCTTGTTTGCTGTTGGAGTAAACAGTCATCTGTTTCAGGGGCATTTTATTGTATCAGCCGGAATGTTGAAGGTCAAAGATCGTTACCCATCCGGCTGTCTTTGAAACGGCTGCTTGTTTACCGTTGGAGTAAACAGTCATCCGTTTCAGGGGCATTTAATTGTATCAGCCGGAATGTTGAAGGTCAAAGATCGTTACCACTAGTAGAAAAATTGAATTCCGCACCGCACTTTTCACACCGGTTCTTGAAAACCGGTGGGAAAAGAAATGGGCGGGATTGGGAAATAGAGTTTTCGCACCGGTTCCAATCAAACCGGTGCGAAAAGTGAGTTTTTCCCATCGAATCTGTCCGAACCAGTGCGAAAGCTATTGCTTAAAAAAAAAAACCCCGGTCTGCCTCTAAATGTATACTATTTCTTTCTCTTTCTGTCTTTCTTTCTTTCTCTTTCCTCCATCTCTTTCATTTTCCTTTTCTCTCTCCTTCAATCTCCTTCTCCACCGGCGGCGGCCACCTACCCCCTCTAAATATATACCCTCGCTTTCTCTTTCTAGATCAATCGTATTTGGAGTGAGTGTTTTTGGATTTTCGAATTTTCTAGGTGGGTGTTTTCGGGTGAGTGTTGAGTATTTCGGGGTGGGTGGAGTGAGTTTCGGTAGTTAAGGTTTAGTTTCAAGCAGACGACGCCTTCTAATCTGTGTATCCCCCATTGAAGAGGCAGCTTCTGAGGTAACTTGTTTGAATCTGATTCATTTTAATAGTCAATGCCGTAAGTTTAGGGTTCGAAATCTCAACTATTTTTGATGTTTGAATCAAATTTGCCTTTGAATTTTCGACCCTAATTTGTAACTGAATCAAATATCCCTTAAAATATGTTATTTTTCGGGCATAATTTGATAATTGAATCAAATAACCCTAAAAATATGTGCTTTTTCGAATTTTGATTGAATCAAATGGGGTTTTGTTGAATTTCGATGTGATTTGCATGTGAATAGTTTATGTCTTTGTGTCTTTTTGAGGAATATAATTTCTTGATTAGTTGCTTGATTTTGTGTCTTTCAAACAATATTAAAGCATAAGAAGTAAAATAATCCTGTTTTCCTTGACAATTACTGAAATAGTGAAATATGCATGGTTAGTTTTTTTGTTTGCGTTCTTAGTTATCATCTTGATGGTTTTAAGCTTGCTGGTTGACTCTTATAATTGTTTATCTTATTATTGTGGTTTCTGTGACTTGTTTAATTGCGGTAGCAATCCTATATAATGGTTGTTATGTTTGCTCAATGCTTTGTCATAGCTATATACTATTATCGTATAAGATTATCATGTTGAGGTGTATTACTATAGTTTAAGAATAGGGAGATCACTCTCCAACCTTGATCTCTGTCTCATCTAAGCAGAAACATAGTTGCACGCACTATGGTTTAATGCTGAGCGACAGTTGTTCTGTAATGTCATTTAGAATTTGTTTGATGGCTTATGACCGGATTGAAATTGTTGATTTCTTATGCTATATTGTCTTTAAGTCTAATACAGAGTACATTTCCGCCTTATTTTCTCCTTGGGGTTTGTGTTGTAAAAAAATTATATTTATAAGTACTTGACATTTAAAGCTCTTGTAAGACTATGCATCAGTTTTTCCGTAAAAAAATTATAATCCATTAAAATTAGTTGCTTGATTTTGTGTCTTTCAAACAATATTAAAGTATATGAATAGCTTAAAAGTTAAAGCGTTGCAAGTAAAAAAAACAGTAGAAGTATGATTCAAAAAGCATAAAAAATAAAGCTCAAAAGACAGCTATTTTGTTTTTCCTGAAAGACCCCCTTGTAGTAGGCTATACCAAACAACAATATGGAGGATATTCTCAGTATTAGAGCTCATCAACAACTGCTATGGTTTTACTAAATAAGATATTGATTGATAAAAAAGTTGTGTGTTTGCTACTTTTATATCTATCGTATATGTTGTATGATTCTTTTATTAATTGTTAAAGAAAGTAATTATTAAAAGATAATGTTAGCCAATTTTAATTCATATTAGTTACACCATTTTTAAGTTACCCATTTTAAATTAGTTATCTTTTATTTCTACATTAGGTTTACCTTATATCCTAAAACAAATTTATGTGAGGGTTAGTTTGTGTACGATTGTGGCTTGCGACTTTGATCAATATGATAATTCTATCTTGTGTGTATTATCATTAATATTATCTATATGGGCTGGAACTTCTCGAATTGTTTAGTACATAGCTGATCTAGGAAATTGACATTGTGGTTTATCTCTTCTAATAGTATATAGGATACAGTGTTTGATCCTGTTGCTCTTACCCGTGGCCATATATTCTGCTATATGTGTGCCTGCAATGCTGCATTTGTGACTATAGTTGATAGCCTGCAGGCCACATCTCCAATGGAGAAGTGTCCATTTTGCCGAGAGGTAATCATGAATGCCCTTACTAAGTTATTTATGTTATCTCGTTCAATCTTTACCTTAATCATGAATGCCCTTTACATGCTTGATAGACTGATGATTGTATTTTGACATTAATTTTTTAAAAAAGTAAAAAATTGGCATTATGGAATAATAAAATAGAGGCTGTTTCCTTTTATCTACACTTTCTAGACAATTCCTTTTTCATTGTTGTATTATCGAAGTTAATATGTTGGATTTTTGGGATTTTTGGGTCAAATACCTAGCGACAAACTCCTATGTTCCTTCACTGAAACGTAGTGAAGAGATAGAGTGCAGTGTGTGCTTAGAACGTGTGCTCGCTAAGACAGCAGCCTCTGAATGAAAGTTTTGTTTGCTATCAGAATGTGACCACCCATTTTGTATAACTTGCATCAGATTTTGGCATAATAGCTCACCAACCTCTGGAATGGATGTTAATTCCACATTGAGGGCTTGTCCTATATGTCGTAACAGCTACAGTAGAATCGCAGAAATTGCAGCCTCTTTCTCCTTATACTGCGTAAGTTATATAATCAAATTTATCTGGCTCGAGCTAGCAAAAATACCCTTGACTTTTCTGTCTTTTATGAACAACTATGAGGATCTGAAGCCTCCCAAACATGTGTAGAATTGTACTAGTGTAGTATGTTTTAATAGCAAGTGAATAAACTAGATTACCATAGGGAATTTGCTCATATGCATGCATCATTCTCCCACATTTACTCAATTGATTCAGTCAAGATGCCCTTTGTATTTTGGCTTCATTTAACCACAACATAGAAATACCTTTTTACTCGAAGTTTTTATTCTATCGATCATAATTTAGTTAAGTCATTTAGCTAGTCAGTAGCTGGCTCTCATCTTTACACAGCATTTGAGATTCCCTTTTCAACTCATAAATTATTCAGGAAAATAGCTGATAAAAAAAATTGGTTATCTTCTCTTTTCCTTGCAGATATGAAGACTTGAAGCCCGCTACTTCGTTAACCCCAACTCCTAATTCATTGGCCACTTCCATGGCCTCGGATGGTGCTGAATCTCAGACAGCTAGCTTGTCAAATAACGGTCCAGTTGAATCTATTGAAGCACAAGATGCAGGGAATGAGCAGACTTCCGCACAGCCAAAGCCAAGACCACTTTCAACGTATACAATGCAAGTCAGTCAACATTCAATCTTTCTTTCTTTTTTTTTTCCCGAATATTTTCTGTTTACCATTTCAATGGATAAGAGGTTTCTCATCTTGCTGGAATACTAAACTGAATATGCACACGTATAGTTGTATTGTCCTGGGAGCAGGATTCCAGTCTTTCTTTTTGGAAATGGTGGTGGTCGCTCAACTGATTCGACAAATTGAAAGATTATTTAAGTGTGTCTATAGAATTAGCCTGATTGTAACTCATTGAGGCTAGATGCTAACTAGTTAAAGACATTTTCATTGTAGTATAATTATCTGGTAATCTGGTATAGATGAATACTTTGTATTAGTTTATTGTCTTTATTTTAAGCATCTATATATAGTAAGTAGGATTTCAACATCTACCCATTCCTTACGCAGATAAAGAATGCCTATGCTGGAAGGCGCACAATGCGCTCCACTACTTGTTCCTCAACAATATGGTTAAAGAAGGGAGTTAAAACCTATATATCATAGTTGGAATAGAATGCCAAAATTGTATCACTTTAGAGCTTTTGTTTCTGGACAACAATGTGTCGCCTGCTGACATCCTGTTCATTTTTTGGATGAAGGTATGATGATATGAAGCCACCAAGTAGTCCAATGCCTTCACCAGAGAATAACTAACTATTATAGAGCGGGTGCTGCCAACCAAGGGGTCTCTAACACGCTGTTGAACCATCTCCATTTTGATGCACGGATGAAAACTTCCTGTTAGTTCTCTGTTACATCTGAAAAGCCGAAGATTTTTTTTTCAAGTAAAAGTTATAATTTCTATCATATTGTATGTTATTTATTTTTTTGACGAAAATTGTAATATTACAGCCTTTTATAATGAAAATATGTTACTTTATATATATGTTAGTGTTTATGTATCAATTTAGGTGAAAAAAATGAAAAAAAAATTTTTTTTTTAATTTTTTTAGGGCACTTTTGGCACTGGTTTTGGAACATAACCGATGCTAAAAGTTTTTTTTTATAAATTTTTTTGGGACTTTTGGCACCGGTTCAAAGCAAGAACCGGTGCGAAAAGTGAGGTTTTTCGCACCGGTTCTCACCCAAAACCGGTGCGAAAAATCCTTTTTCCCACCGGTTTTGAACCAGCGCGAAATCTATGGGGTTTTAGCACCCCCCAAATCTAACCCGGTTCAAAACTGATGGGAAAGGGGGGGTTTGAACCGGTGGGGAATTCGTTTTTTTGCCTAGTGTACCCATCCGGCTGTCTTTGAAACGGCTGCTTGTTTACCGTTGGAGTAAACAGTCATCCATTTCAGGGGCATTTTATTGTATCAGCCGGTATATTGTAGATATATAATTGTAAAAAATTTTAATTAATTAAAAATTGCAAGTAAATAGCAAAACCGACTAAGTCGGTAAATATATTAAAATAGAAATGTTAATCGGACCCATGTCTGGGAATAGTACAGAAACATACACGACTTGTAGGCCGGTAAAAAAGAAGAGATTGTTTATGATTGTTGCTGTTGCTGCTGCTCCGGCTGCTAAGTTTGTTCAGTTGGAACTTCAGCCGACTACGCCACAGTTGGTTTCGGCTGGATTTCAGTTGGGGCCTCCTGATTCACCTCATCCGGTTCGCTCTCTGTATTCCGTTCGACCCACTCCTCAAAAGGGGGAGGAAGGTAAGAACCGAGTACCTTAGCCTCGTATACTTCAGAAGCATATAGGTACCGGAGGTTGAAGTATTCGAACTCATAGTCCGGATGAATGAGACTCCAAGCCAGCTTCATACGCTCCTCGCAGTCAGCCTCTTTCTCTTCAATCAGGCGGAGTTGCTCCTTCTCCAGCTCTTCTTTATGTGCCGCCTGATTTGAAGCAAACTCGTCCTTCAGCCGGCTGTTCTCTCGGCGGAGGTCAGAATTCTCTTTGTCAGCTCCTTCCAGAGCCTTGAGACCAGCCTGAAGATCCTTGACCTTTTGATCAAGCTCATCCGCTCTCTTTTTTGCCGCCTCCCCAGTCGAAACAGCTCCCTTCAGCAATTCCTCCTGTTCCAACTCCCTCCGTTTAGTTTCCAAGTCATATTTAATAGCATTGAATTGGGAAACGTCAATCAGCTCAGATGCGCGTTTCTGAGCGTCCCTTACCTCCTCTTGCTTTTTACGCAAGGGGACTCGCAACCCATCAACTCTTAGCATCACCTGCGACATCAGCCGGAAAAAGTGTTAAGAAATTAAAAGATTATTACTCTTCCGGTAAATACAGAACATTGCACAAGCATAGGTCATCCGGTTAATTACCTCAGCTAGAAGGGAGTTGATGCGGTCGAGGTTCACTTGGTGCACAGCCGACACCGCCGCCTTCTCAGAGCGGGTCAGAGTCTTAATCATTCTCTGAGCATACTGGTTGTAATTGGGCCGGCTGGAGGTTGCATCTGCAATTATAGAGTTATCTGTAAGATGCTGGGCATACGCTCCGCCTATATTCAGGCGGTATCCAGAAGAACCCCCTGATTGGCCTACTTGGGTTTTGACTCTCATATGCCCAAGCGGCCAAGGGGGATCAAAGGCAGAGGTTTTACCTTCTTCGGACTGTGGGGTCAAAGCCCCCCCAGACGCATTTGAGTCTGTACCCGTCTGGGTACGAGCAGCCGGCCTCAATTCCTCCACAACGATTTCGAAGTGGGGAATGGATTGCAGGCTCTTTCCTGCAGTAGTAGGCCTGTCTATGTCAGGCGTTTTCTTCGAAGCCGCAGTAGCAGGGGCGGGAGCCGCCAGCCTTGGTGTTTTAGCAGCCGGCTGAGGTATGTTTCTAGCCGGCCTTTTGTGCATACTTGCTAAAGAGCAAGGCATGACTTGGCTCCCAGCCTGAAATCAGTCAAACATATTACATCCGGTTAAATATCATCTACCTTCAAGTATATCGCATCCGGCAAATAAAGAAAATAAATATGGCCAAGATAGACTACCCCGGCATTTTTGGTGGCCAGCGCCGCCTTCTTTTCTTCAATCTGCTTCTTTCTTAGAAGAAGAGAAGAAGTAGCAGGTGTCTTCTCTGGAGGCACCATTTCTTTGGCAACTTCTGCAAAAAGGCAAAGGGCAAGGTTAGAGTTCTGATAGACATACACAAGCGTCAGATGCTGGGTAATTCAGTAACCTACCCTTAGTAAACATTGTACTAAGATTACAGAGAGACAGGAAGGCCTCATCCTTAAACCATTCCGGATGGGGAACCCAGAATCTGGGAACAATAATTTCGCTCCCATCATCCATCCGGGAGGTCGTCTTAAGAAAGAGACCTCTTTCCATTATTTGATCCCATGCCTCAGCAGGCACTTTTGGGAGAGCGCATTTTCTCCCGAGCAAAACCGGATGCTTATTATATCTGCGCAGCCAGCGGTTAAGTTGTGGAGTTGGAGAAGAAACAGCATAGAATTTGCTCTTCCAATTGCTCCATTTGGACGGCTTGTCCAAAGTCATCATATACTCTGGGTGGGTTTTTAAAGTATACCACGCATTCCAACCACTCGGCGCCCAGTTGAGGTAATGCATATGAGCGAATGCCTCCCAGCTAGGCTTAACCTCCTGCAACTCGCAGGCGGCAATATATCCCAATATGTTGACCCATGAGTTAGGGGTTAACTGACATACACCCAAGTCATATCCCCTTAGTATTGCCTTAATGTAATGATGAAGGGGGAACCGGAGGCCGGCTGTGAATGCCGCCTCGTAGCAGCCGAAGTAGTTGTCGGCATTGTCCAAATCGTCGGTCCAAACGACGCTTGCCTCTACAGGAGGTACAACCACTTCCCAGTTCTTCCCTACCGGCTTTTTCTTCAAAAAAGCAGGGAGTGTTACGTTTAAAGTAACCACATCCCTGGCGGACATAGTCATGTCGGTAGGGTCACCTGCAACCGACCACTTATAAGCTTCCTCATCAATAAGGGCAGCCGCTTCAGGAGACTCCTCATCAGAGTCGGACGCCTCATCATTTGATCCTTCGCCGGAGCCATCGACGTTAGAATCAGAGTGTTCTAAAATACTGTCCCCCGGCGTACTAGGTTCACCCGGAGAATTATGTGGAATAGACTCATTCGGAACTCTCTCAGACGGTTCCTCTGTCTGTTCTTTAGCTAAATCAACAGCCGGATCAACGACTGCATCATCGGACTAGTAGTCAGGGTCGACTGCCGTCACTCTAATCTAAGCCATTCTGTCCTGCACATGAACAGAAACGGTCGGATTCGAAGTAGGTGAAGGTTGGCCCAAGCACCCCCAGACGGCAGTCCCAGTCCCAGACTCAGCCGTCCCTGGTGACCGGCTGACCACTGTCGTAGGCTCTGCCGTGTTTATATTGGTGGAGTCCATATCCTAACTCTATATGTACAACCGGAAATTAAAGGGGAAAGAATTGCAAAGGTTACAGACGGTACCTTAGAATGTGAAGCTTGTTGGATACAACCGTCAAAGCTTAAAGTGGCTTGAAGTCACCACAGGCAGATGTGTTTGAAGCTGAAAGACAAAAATAGAAATTAGCCGGTTTTTTCATAAACTCATTCAAAGATACCACATATGGAATTAACCGCCTGTGGTTGTTTAGATTGCTGACTAGACATTGTATGAAGTTCACTCCATGATACCCCAGACGGTATCCAATGAGTGGGTTCAGAAATACCCCAGACAATCTAAAACCGAATGATAGTCTGTTTAGAAAGCTAACTAGACATTGTATGAGGTTCACTCCATGATACCCTAGACGGTATCTAGTGAGTAGGTTCAGAAATACCCTAGGCGGTGTAAAAACCGGATGGGGGGTTATGAAGAAAGATAGCAGCATTGCTCTCAAATACCCTAGACGGTGTAAGACCGGATGGGGGGTTATGAAAAACACTTTTTAAAAAAAAAAAAAAAAAAACGAGAAGAGAAAAGTTAAAAGGTATCCCAACCGATACTTTACCGGTTGAGTCTGTTTTCTGAAACAACAATGCACAGGACCCAGGCAGTGTTTCACCGGATGGGGGTGCATTGAATTCATGGTGTTTAAAAGTTGAAGACCCCTCATGCGGAGCTATGCCGGTTGAGGGAGAATTCAGTACTGGGAAATGGGTTAAAAACCCCCCAGGCGGTTGGCCACTTGGATGGGGAAATCATTGAGCCTTTAAAATCAGAAGTTTAAAAAAAAATAAAAAAAAATTAAAAGGCAGTCGGTACCTTGTTGAAATTGAGCAAGGTATACTCAACCGGTAGCCGGATGGGATTGATCTAAAAACGCTGGATGCAAGAAATCTTAAGAATCTTGAGCAGCCGGTATCAGAGCTCTCTCAGGAAATTTTATAGGAGAAGAGAGGTGATGTCTCTTATTTATAGGAGAGGGGCAGAAGGCGAATCAAGACATTCTGCCCTAAAAATTGAAAAACTCAAAAAAAGGAGGGAAGCAAGCGAACCGTCACTTCCCATCCTTCCGACGCCTGTCACAGGTGACACGTGGCTATGCCACGTCATACCTGTGAGGGGCAGATGTTTAGGGTAAAAAAAAACCCTAGACACGTGGCCCTATAAAGGCTTGCCACGTGTCAAACTTGCAACGGTCAGCAAAGGCCCAATCCCTTTGCGACACGTGTCATTGTACCCTAATTGAGGTACAACTCTCCCCTACTATAAATAGTAGGGTCATACCTCATTTATAGGGATCATCAACATTTCTAACAACCAACAAAACACAAAACCCATTGCAAAACGCTCTCCAATCGAGAAGCATTTATTGCTTTTTATACCTCTTTTAAGAAAGATTCTAACTTAATCTTCGGAGGCGGAACTCCCACTCCCCAGCCGGAGTCTCCGTTATTTGTGCAGGTACAGGCGAAG